CTCAGTGTCAGCGAGAAGGCTGTTGCACTTTCTTATCATTCGTGTGCTCACTGGAGTAGCACTTTTAATTTCCTTCAAGAACTTCCTTTGCATTCACAACCTGGCTAACTGTTTGGTGCAAGAGGCCTAGCTTATGGCCTCTCTTGGCTTTCGACATGCCTTCCTCGCTAAGCTGAATCATTTCTAGCTTTTGATTTAAAGTAAGAGACGTGCCACTCTTCCTTTCACATGAACACTCAGGGGCCATTGTAGGATTATTAATGCCTCATTTCAGTACTGTGGTGCCTCTGGGAACAGAGAGGCGTAAGGAGAGGGAGAGATTTCGGGGAACAGCCGATTGGTGGAGAAGTCAGAACACACACAACATTTATCGATTACGTTTGCTGTGTTACATGGGCACGGTTTGGTGGCACCAAAACCAATTACAATGGTAACATCAAAGATCACTGACTGCAGATCACCATAGCAAATATAATAATAATGAAGAAGTTTGAAATATTGTGAGAATTACCAAATGTGACACAGAGACACCAAGTGAGCAACTACTGCTGGAAAAATGGCGCTGATACACTTGCTCAACACAATGTGGCCACAAACTTCCAATTTGTAAAAAACGCAGTATCTGCAAAGTGCGGTAAAGCAAGGTATGCCTGTATAGGCAATAGCTGTCTTGTGATGCACCTAACGAGGCAGAATCTCTCCTAGTCCCGAATTCCATACTACTTAAGAAAAGCTTTATAAGATGAGGTTTGGAGTAGAGTTGCCAGATTTAGCAAATAAAAATAGCAATATTTGGGACATACTTATACTTTTTAGCACAGTTATTTGTTGCTTAGCTGAAATTCACATTTGACTGGTGCCTGGTATTTTATCTAGCAACACTTGCTTGGAGTTGGCTCTGGAGTTGAAGTCCAGCTAGCTGAGTGATCTTGAGCAAGTTACTCACCTTCTCTGAGCTTCACTTTCTTGGTACCCGTCCATTGTTGTGAGCATCCTTTTTTTTTTTTTTTTTTTTTTTTTTAAAGATTTTATTTTTTCCTTTTTCTCCCCAAAGCCCCCCGGTACATAGTTGTGTATTCTTCGTTGTGGGTTCTTCTAGTTGTGGCATGTGGGACGCTGCCTCAGCGTGGTCTGACGAGCAGTGCCATGTCCGCGCCCAGGATTCGAACTAACGAAACACTGGACCGCCTGCAGCGGAGCGCGCCAACTTAACCACCCGGCCACGGGGCCAGCCCCATGAGCATCCTTTTTATAATAGATATCAAGCACTTAGCACAGATCCTGCGCATAGCAGACAAAGTTCTCACTAAATTATAGGCATCATCATAATGACTGGCAACCCTGTTACTTGCAACTCAGTTTCAAATATTTCTGTATAAATCTTATTTCCTGTACTAGAAGGTGGGATCCACATCTGCTCAGGCTTGAACATAATGGGGGTATAATTTGTTGGATTTTGCGTCAGTACAAAATTCTGCCCCAGCACTTCTGTGGAGTCTGAGTGACTGGCTGCCTGGCTGGCCCCCTCTTGCAACCCGCCGGTTCCCTTTCCTTTCCCTTCCCCCATAGGAAGAATAAGCCTTTGTTCTGGAGTTATTTCAAGCAAGCTAAGCCCTTGGAAACCGCTTCACTCAGTTTTTATAGGCCAGTAGATCCCACAACGTATACAAGATTTATTGTTCATATGAAATTGAAAAGCTCCCCGGTGTAGTTCTTTGAATCTACAGAGGAAAATGAATGGCCTTCACTAGAACTGTCGTAAAGATTTAATGACATTTACATTCAAGCCGCTGAAAGTAAATAATTATGCTGCTGGGTGGCTATTCTTCTGCTGAGTTTAAACCGTTTAAAGTAACTTGGCCTATGTTAGCTTGACATTAATTCAGGTCGTGTGAAAAGTCTCCATCAGAACTGTGGGCTGGCTAAGATGGAAACTTAGACGTTTCTATACAATTATGAGGCATAAGAAGGATTCGGGGGAGGAGACTCCAAGGACAGTGACAGAGGAGGGTGGGAAGGACTTCCTGGAATGTTCAGCTGTGCAGACCACTGCTTGAGAGAAAGCCGAGGTGCCCAGGAGAGAGCACCACCATTGTTCTCGAAGTCACAGCGAGCCCAACTCCAGATGGTCTGCATATCACATCACAGCACCGAGGCACTCCGCCCATCTTCCATATCAGCTCTTTGTCCTACCCTCACTTGCTATCAGGAAGGAAGACTGAAGTGAGAACTAAAGTCTATCTGAGTCTGACTTTATTAAAAAAAAATAGGTCCCTGACCTTAGCTTCCCCCATTTCGACTCTGCTATTCCTAAGGATTCCACTGGGCCACCCACTCTCCTCAGGTGTTCTGGGGGCTCTGGCAGGTATCTCCCATATGCAGGCTGCACAGGAGCCAAAATTAGGGGACTGAACAGTCAGTCCTACTTTCCAGCATGTGGGCCTAAGCCATGAGGGGATGATTGAATTTGGGGCATGTGGAAGATCATTCACTTCCATGTCATTATTGAAAGCATTTCCCATATGCCTAACTGATGGAGGGCTTGTCTTGCAGACCCCCGGGTGTTCCATGTGGGAGAGCTAAAGGGAGATATCTGCAGTCAGCAGAAAAGACAGAATGCACAGGCAGATGCCAGGGACATTTCTCCAAGCGGGCCAGAAAGCCGTACAGAAGGCTGCATTTGATAAGCCCAGCAGTCACCCAGTTGGCTCAAATGGGGGGAAATGAGTCATGCAGAGGCAACTGCTGTGGGTCTCTTGGGGACAGCTCCTGCCTGCTTCACCTAGCAGGGCTGTGGTTCACTTCAGTTCTTGACAACAGCTCCCATCCTGAGCCTTGAGTGTCTCCCTTGCTGCTGGCTCATGACCCTAGGGAAGACGGTGTGTCTGAACCACCAAATTGTTGTTGCACCTTCCAGTTCTATTTGCCTATTTTCGTGGGATTTCCTATCCTTTCACAAGCTATTTGAATGATGCTCAGGAAGGTTATGAATCAGACTTTCGAGCTCATAGAAGATAAGGTCGTTGTCCAGGGGCTTTTCTGGTGCCCTCTTTGTGGGAGGCATTGTGGAGAATGTGGTAACTGTGGTGCAAGGATGGCCGTCCATTTCCTTCTCTCTCAAAGGAAGCTTTGCATGAGATGACTGGAGTTTCTTCCCACTCTCAACTTCTGTGAGCCCCTGAGATGGAATAATAGATCTGAACACACCATAAAGCACAAGAGGGTGTGGAAACCTTAGATACCACTACTGTTGTTATTATTATGTTTTCCTCTGAATTCACAAACCAATGTGTAGCACAATACTGATTAATCTCAATTCATACTTGCTGCAAATTGACCAATTTTTAAAAATAATAATTGAATGTCTGCCCAAAGAACCCATCAGTCTTACAACTTCAGCAATTAACTTTCATTCATTTAACAAATACTCCTTTCAGGCTCTGTGCTAGACACTAGAGCTATAAATAATAATAAAAAAGACAGACCTGGGGGCCAGCCCAGTGGCACGGTGGTTAAGTTCATGTGCTCCACTTTGGCAGCCTGGGTGCAGACCTACACACTGCTCACCAAGCCATGCTGTGGCAGTGTCTCACATATAAAGTGGAAGAAGATTGGCACAGATATTACCTCAGGGCCAATCTTCCTCACCAAAACAAACAAAAAACCCCCCCAAAAAACAGACCTGTTCTTGAGGTGTGTATGATCCAGCTGAGAGACAGACAATGAGCAAGTAATTAAAAATATGATGAGTGTTACAAGGAAGGTCAAGATGCTATGGAAATGTCTAATGGGGCACCCAGTCTAGTTTGAATGGGTAGGAAAAGCTTCCTGCCTGGAGGAACTATCTAGGTTAATAATAAGAGCTAATATTTATAGAGCCTTTATTATGCATCATGTTACGTGCATTCTTTCATTTAATCTTCAAAGAACTCCATGAGGTAGGGTCTATTAGTGTTTCTACTTACAGACAAAAGAAATCAAGGCACAAGAGGTGAAACACATGCCTGAGGCTCACAGCTAGTTGGAGAGAACACCTGGAAGTGAGTGCAGGTGGCTGTGCACCAGGTTCTCTACTGACTCAAGGGTAGAAGGGCAGGGCGCCGCCGAGACAAAGGCTGGTCAGCCCTGCTGGACGGGAGGGATGGCATGAAATCACACAGGAAGAGAGCATCAACTGGTTGTGTGTGAGCTTGGGAGAAAGTTCCCTCGTTGTCCCTTTGTTCCTTAAGATAGTAATGTGTTTGTGAAAGAAAACAAAGCTGCTTTCCAATTCGAGAGAGAAGGAAATGGAATGGTTTGTTTACAGTCAGAGGTATTAAGGTTTGTGAGAAGTAAGATTTTCCCATAAGTGAGATGGACTACATAATCTAATTTTCTAATAAACTTGAGTAATAAAACCCTGTAATGATTTTAGTGAAATTCCACCTAGTGTCTATCAGGTGGCAATAATAATAGATGTTCACTGTTTTGGTAATAGAATAATTCTAGCTGAAGTCACAAAGGCGTTGATTCTAGTAGGTTCTTTTTCTCCAGTCTTGGAATTACTACATGTTTAGGGAAAATGTAGGAATAATAAGGAAATATTATAGTGGTGGGAGGGAGAAATTTTATTCCTGACATTTTAAGTATAGCTGTAAAAGGTTTAATTTGAACATTTCTTGGCTGGGGACGACCTCATAACATTCAGGAGATGGATTTGCTGGGCAGCAGTTAGATTCTTTCAGTGTTATTAGAATGTTTCCACCTTAACCTCAAAAGAAGCAACTCAAGCATGCCCATGTCCAATATTACTTTATCCAGGTGCACACCAAAAGCATCTTTAATGATTAGGAATTACATGCTATTAAAGCTTAATTAACTAGACTTCAGCTACCTAAGTTCTCAGTTAACTTAAATTTCCTTTTGTTTTGTATCCAAGGCTTAAGGGAAATTGCCAGATTATAAAGTATTTAAAAAACCTCTACATTTTAAGACTAAGGACTGTCATGCTGACTGCGTACCTCAGGCCGGAATTCCGTGCGCCCCAATTCTGCTACACTTGGGATGAAGAGCACGAACTTGGAAATCAGATGGATCTGGCCAAAAGTCCTTATTTCACCTGCCATTTGTCTCCAGCCGAGTTTCTTAGCTTCTTGATAGCTCAGTTCATTCATCTGCACCAGCAGATAGTCATGCCTGTCTCCCTGTGCTGTGGGAAGAGTTGAATGGGATTATGCAATGAAAGCAGGGGCCAGCGCACGACAAGTGCTCAGGAAACGGAAATCAATTAGGAACAAGACTTAGCCTGAGCCACCACAATATCACAAATAATCAAAGAAACATGACACTACATTTGGTATTCTGTACTAACGCTGACAGAAAATTATGCCTTCATAGTTTCAAAAGTCATTTTTAACAATGACAGTTAACATGAAAATATTTTCTGGTTAACGCATGATAAACTACAATTAAAATCAGCTAACTAGAATGCCCAATTTAGAAAATATTCCAGTTAATAAAGACTGGAATTTTCCCATATTCAGAAACTACAATGTTTTATCTACAGAGAAATATGTATATCTTTCACACTCAATAGAATTGTCAACTCTGATTTTAGCAAAGTTTAAACAAACTGCCAGGTAGGACTTAGTGCTGTTTCCCTCTTCCTTTTTGAACTAATTCTGAATTCTTTAAGACTTGCTGTCTCACACACGCCTTCTAAGTAATTTCTTAGTTTTGCTTTTTGCTGAATACCACTTAGCACCTTCACTTTTGTAGAGCTTTTCTTGACTAGTTCTTTTTTTTTGAGAAAGATTAGCCCTGAGCTAACTGCTGCCAATCCTCCTGTTTTTGCTGGGGAAGACTGGCCCTGAGCTAACATCCGTGCCCATCTTCCTCTACTTTATATGTGGGATGCCTACCACAGCATGGCTTGCCACACGGTGCCATGTCCACACCAGGGATCCGAACCAGCGAACCCCGGGCTGCTGTAGCAGAACGTGTGCACTTAACCGCTGCACCACCGTGCCGGGCCCCTCTTGAGTAGTTTTAAATGGTTCTGAATTTTCTTTACTTTTGCATTTGGGGCAAAACAGATCAAATTAAATAGATACAACTTTAAAAAGATTGATTTTTTTCAAATGTGGGTCATAACATTTGTATGTAACATCTATGTGAAATACACACTAATCCATCTGATTGCTCAGTATGGATTTTGATGTAACGTAATGTTTCCAGAAACGTGGACGTTAGATAGTAACACAACATTTTCTTTTTAATTTTAAAAGATATATTTTAAAGAATATTAGTATATACTTCTACTTATAGAAAATGATGCTGGTTTGACACTTATTGATAATAATTCTAAAGATTCTTTTAAAAATTATTTAGGTAAAAAGATATTAGGAATTGAACAGGTGTTATTCACATGCAATAAAAATTGTGCAGCTCCTGTGTGAGGGGTTGAAGCTGGGGAACAGTGGCATATTGTTGCTTTTAACTGCGTGACTTGGGCATGTCACTGCACTTTTCTAAGCTTCAGTTTCCTCGTCTACAAAGTGGAGATTGGACCTGGTGATCACTGCACTGCCTGTTAACATCCGGAGCTCACGGACCACATTTCACTCATCTCTCTCTCCCAACTATCAACATGGTGAGAGGAGCACTGCTGCGTGGCTCAATGTGTGACTGTGAGATTCAGTGAATTCACTGACACCCCTCCAATTCTACCATCGAGGAGCCCTCTAAGTCTGTAGTACTTAGCATTTTCATTTTCCTTTCAGTCACCTACTTATAGAGATACATGGTGCAGCCACAGGCTTGAATATTTAAACAAGTGGTTGAGCTTATTTGTACCCTGGACATGAGAGATGCAGTGAAGAAATGAGAGAAATGGTGACTGTCCTCAAGGAGTTTACGGTTCCCCTGGGCAGGCACTTAGAGGGCAAGTTAGGCGTTTCCGTAAGCATCCAACTGCTTTACCTAAACATAATTGATGTAATGCGTAGAACTGGATATGGCAAATTTTACCCAGGATGAGGAGGGAAAAGTTGTCAGCGAGTTTGGTGAGGAGACGGGACATGCCCTTAAAGGAAGAGAAGTTTAACAGAAGGAGTAAGAAGAAGGAGGACATTCTCAGCTGGGTTGGCCATGTGCATAAAGTCTGGGAAGTGAGGTTTTTAAATGCATAATTTAACAAATTCACCAGCAAACAAGCAAAATAGTAAGAGTTGCCTACCCCTGATTCAAGCACAGTACTTGCAATCTAACATACTTTGTTGGTTGAGTCATTTTGTTAGTTTTGTCTTGTCACCAATGATTAAATTATTAATCATGTCCTTTTTTCATTTCCCAAAATATTCTCTAATTATAAGGATCTTGACAAACTAGGTTACTGTTTCTCTTTCACTTGTTTGTTTTGTAAGTATGGTGTAGTTGTGTGTGTTTGTTTATGAGAACTGCCAACTATGATTTCACTTATTTCTTTTTAAGAAATTCTATGCTGTTATAGGAACATGGGAAGGGGTGGATAAATGAGTCATGATCAGATGCCACTGGTGGTGGCTGGCACCTGGCTGATGCCTGCAAAGTGTGCCAAGGCTGTGAAGGAAGCCCTGGCTGGTGCCTGTGCCCTCTGCTTTGTGGCTGATTGAAAGGGGTCAAAGAAAGGGCCGGTCAGAGGAGGTAGAATCCAGGAGCCTTCAACAAGGGGCTGTTGTTACCTTGCCAAAGGAGCTATCTAGATAACCCGGGGCAGGCAACTTCTGAGCCACTTGCCATTCTTAAGCCTCATGCCCCTGCATGATTGGTTGCTTCTGTGTATCCTCTTTCATTTCCCTCTTTCCTCCTCTACTTAATTTTACAATTGAAGAAATCATAAAGAAGAATTCCACCCTATCAATGAAAAATAGGTATAACAGTGAAACAGTTATCAACTGGGCTTCATCATGGAGCATATTTCACACTAACAAGATCTATTGACGTGTGTTAATATGTTAGTGTCAAGCTATATATAAGATTTACAGATCTCTGTGACTATAGATATAAGGAAATCAATAATCCTATAAGTGAAGCTATCGATATCTATATATTGATAAATAAGAGGTATTGATAGCAAAAGCTCTGTATAGATATTTCTAAAGCTGCTTCTTGGTAACTCAATTAAATTTTAAAGTTTGGTTTTTTAAAAAAATTTTCCTCTAATCACCTGAAACCACATATTCCTTATCCTCAAACTTCAAAATGTATTTCCTTCCTTCAACTGGCATTATTCATAAATAAAGAAGAAAACAAACCTTATCTCAGCAAAACCTGATGTTTCAGGGAGTTAGGGCCCTCTAAACATCATGATGTAATATAAAGGCTGTCATTGAAAGGGCGGGGACATTTAGGGCTGCCTTTGATCAAAAGCACTCACCCCGAGCCCAGATTGAATGGGAGGCCCTTCAGACTTGCTAATCCACTGGTGCTCAGTGCAGTTGCTAGGGAGGCAGATCTGGGCACAGAGCAAAGCCAGAAGTTTCCATGGTTATAGGAGACAGAAGTCAGCCCAAGTGGGTACCCTGGACAGGGGGCTGGCCTCGGAGAGCTGAAGGGGACTCTGACAGGCTGGGGGAAAAAAGTGATCCAAGAGAAAGAAAAGTCTTGAACTTACTATGAATTGTTGTTTCTTTCCTATCTCTCTTCTTCCGTTGTCTCCATAATTTATTCCCCATCCTTTCTTGCTTCTTTTGTGGAAGTGATTAAAGGTCTCAACTCAGCACTCTACAAACAGAAAACTTTTAATTTTTTTTTTTAAGATTTTATTTTTTTGCTTTTTCTCCCCAAAGCCGCCCTGTACATAGTTGTATATTCTTAGTTGTGGGTCCTTCTAGTTGTGGCATGTGGGACGCCACCTCAGCGTGGCTAGATGAGTGGTGCCATGTCCGCACCCAGGATTCGAACTGACAAAACACTAGGCTGCCTGCAGTGGAGCACGCGAACTTAACCACTCGGCCACGGGGCCGGCCCCTAATTTTTTTGATACTTGATAGTAAACTTGCTCTCATAATCTCCCTGTTTAGGCATGGGGTAGGAGGGGAGGATCTGTTTAATCTCATCAGGCAAAGTATCTCCGTCCCATCTGATACTGGTTTACATCTCAGACTTTTCTAAAAGCTTCGCTCTCTCACCCTCCGGCTCAGGCTAGTTTTTTATTCAGGAGCAGCTGCTGCCACTGTTGGAAATAGCGAGTTGCAGAGCTTGACCTGCCCTGCTTTCCCCATCCTTCTTATTATCCCTCCATGTTTTCCTTTGAGCCGCATCCTCTGCAGAAGCAGCAGTTGAGCTGGAGGGAAGGAAGACCATCTTCCTATGGGGATGAAGGCAGTCTATGGAATCCAGAAGCCTGGGTATGGTCACTCCTTTGTCAGCCCCTGCTGTGGTACCATCCTCCAGTCTGGTTCCTGGCATGATGATGCAGACTCAACCGCAGCTGGATGCTATTTGGTGGAGGGAAATGCCCATGACTTAGACCTCAGTCATTCCGTTTTTCATGGCCTCTGCTAAAATGGAGATTTCAGTGTAGGTGGCATACAGCATTTTCATGGGCAGCCTTCAGTTCCAATACAGCTAACCAGCCTACAAGATCACAGGAGGATAAACAGACTTTCCTGTGGCTCTTGCCAGCAGCACATGCTGTATGCCTTCAGGCTGGGCAACTCTGCTTTGCTGAGTGATCACAAGGGCAAGCTTTTGGCTCCCATCCCTCAGTTATCCTCACTTGAGTCATAGAAATCAGCTGGGTTTTTGCCTTGATTCCCCAAAGCCACAGAGAACTGGGATGGCAATGGCCTTACTCTCTTTCCTAGGTGTGCTATTCACTATCTCCCTGGTATTTTCCAGTTAACTAGTCTCTCCTTGTTGGTCCTCTAGCAAGAAACTTTCCAATCCCACAACTGCGCCATATCTAGGGCCAAGTGGCAGGAGGAGATGAGAGAGAGAGACAGAGGGAATGGCAAGCAATGGGATTGGTCCCACCTCTTAGAGCTGCAACTCCACTGAACAGAGAGAAAAGTTCCTCTCCTTTTGAGTTTTGGAGTTTTGGGTCTAGCAGATTGCTATTGCCACTGCTGCCACAGGATTATCTGGTGTCTTGGACCTGAGAGATTGGAGAAAATAGAAAATAGAGGGATGATTACTCCCCATTCTCTGAAATTTAGTAGATCCCTTAATTGCTTCTCAAGCCAGAACTAGAGTGTTTCTCCTGATCTCTCCTTGTCTGCATCACAGCGCTCACTTCCACATTTCCAGCTGCCTCAAGTTCACGTTGGGAGATACTGGAGGGGAAACAAAATGGTAAACTCACCACCAGTTCAGTGCTATTTTGAGTTCTAATGTTCTCCCCCTGTCTGCCTGCTAGCATACATTTCCTTTGTGGGGTCTTTAAACATCTGAGCCATGCGTTCTCTTTGGGTTTTGTGGTTGCATTCAGTGAGAGTCACGGTGGCTTGTGCTGACTCCATCAGACCTGGAACCAGAACTTCTGACAACCTTTAAGCATGACATAGTTTTTTTTAACCCAACCAATTTTGTTTTGAAAAAGTGTTATTAATTGAGTCATCATTATATAGAATAGAAATAAAAGATTACTAGATTTATAATTTCTCCATGCCTCAGCTTTCCCTTCTGTAAAGTGGGGATAATAATAATACTTACCTTACAGAATTGTTATGAGGTTTAGATGAGGCAATGTATGTGTAACGCTTAGAATTGTGCCTTAAATATAGTGTTATATGAGCATTTGGTATCATCATCTGGCACCAATCATTTTTGTAAAATGAGATCTATTTTGAATATTTCAAATATATATTCAATGAGAGCTAGAAAGACAAACATAAATTTTAAGCAATTATATAGAATGTTGAAAGAAAATAGGAAGTAGCATGCTTGCTTACTTAGTACTTATGTATTTTGGTTTATTCCAAGTGCTATGGGAAGTCATTAAAGAATTTGGGGCAGAGGAATACTATAATAGGATATATATTTTTAGGCCACTCTGACCACTGGGAGGAAAACAGACTGAATGCAGGCGAGCATGGAAGCAAGGGACACAGATTAGAGGCTATTCACTGGTTCAAGAAAGAAATGCTATGAAGATGGACATGAAATATATTGTGGAGTAAAAGTGACAGATGATGGAAGGGAAATGGATGAGTTCAATGAGGGTGAAGGAGGAATCTTGAGCAACTGACCTATGGCAAAGCCTACAGACCAGTAAGTTGGTGTCTAGGGGGCGGGATGGTGGATTAAGAGCTCAGTAGGGATGTGTAAGGTCTGAGATGTCTCTGAGTTCATCCAGATGGAAATGTTGGGGAAGCAGTAGAACTCTGGGGAGAGAATGAGGATGAAGATAAAAGTTTAGGAATCATCAGCATGTTGGAGAAATTTAAATCAACAGATAGAGGTGAGATCACTCAGGGAGAAAACGTAGAGGGAAAAGAGCAGAAGTTCAGGGCAAAGCATTGGGCCTCTAAGACATTTAGAGATCAGGCACAGAGGAATCAAAGTGGTCACAGGCTCAGGCACAGACACTGGCTAATCAGAACAGATGCCAGTGGCAACCCTAAAACAGGGTCCTGGAGGCCCGCTGATGTGCTGGATTAAACTAACGTTTAGCAGGGCCTAGAGGAGAGGCCAAGACAGCAGGAGGGCTGGGTCAGGAGTGGCTCAGGACAGTAGCTATTTAAAACTGGTATGAAGTATTTCAATATTTTAACAACTGGTATAGCCAAACTGGTACAGACCAGTTGAATATCAGTCCTGGATCCTGCAAAAGAACCCAGAAGGAGTACCTAGGGAGGTAAGCAGAGGTTTTGGTGTCATAGAAGCTGGAAGGGTTAATTGTATCTAATGCTGCCAAGCTAAGGAAACATGAAGACCTTGACAAAAGAAACTTCAGTGAAAAGATGGGAGTGAAGCCAAATTCCGGTGGGTTGAAGAGTAAATGAAGAGCAGTATGCATAAAGCACTCTTTGAGAAATTTGGCTATGAAAGAGAGAAGAGAACTGAGGCAGTAGATGGAGGGATGCATAAAGAGACAGTAAAATATGTTTGTGTGCCAGTGAGAGCAATACAGAGTAAGTATTGGTGAGGCAGAGTCGAAGGGAGAACCAAGGAGATGCAGTCTTGAGAAGAGAGATGAAATAGCATCAAGAACTCATCAAAAGCTAACGAGAGAGGTGAGTGCAGAGGCAGGCTGGCATGTGGATTTAGTGGCAGCAAGATGAAAGATCACAGCCTTGTCTGAGAGCTTATATTTCCCTAATGAAGAGCAGGCCAAGGTCATCACCAACAGCCCAGGAGATAAGGTGGGAATTTGGGAGTACAACAAGCTTCTACCCAACGTCTTTTTGTGAATTTTCACACAGTGAATCCCTTATTATATTTTTGTCTTTCTATTTCACTTTATTTTTGTCTTTATTCATTTATTTGGAATCTGTGCAACTGAGAAGGGATTCGTGAGGGATATTCAGGTGTATTTGTACCAGACAGATATCAGTATTCACTTAGTTTTGGAATATGGAAACTAGAAAACCAGGGAAGAGGTTTGAAACAGCTGATGAAGAAGCCAGACTGACAATGGAAAAAGTGCACAGATGCAATATGCATTTTGGAGTCTGAATGGAATGTTTGCTGCCTGTTGATATTTGAAAATGATAGCAACTGCCTTGTGAACGTGGACTCTGCTTAGCCACATCTTGGTTTGCCCATGCATTTTTCTGTGCCAGTTAGATTACATACGTGGAACCTGTTCAATCTTTCCATCAGGAGCCTTCTCTTTACCTTGTAATTGTACAGTGAGTCAGAAATCTGGCTTGCTTCTCTTCCAGTGAGAGGAATGGTTCTAAGACTCATTTTAGATGTAATATACATATTCAGACATCCAGATTCTGCCTGGTCTGAGTAATTAGGTATAGGAAGGTCAACTTTTTTTTCTTTATTTGCAAAGATGCAACTAATAAACTGCCCAGAGGCCACAGCACGTTCCTTTTGTGGCTTCTGAGTTTTAAATTTTGCATTGAAATAATATCTTTTGTCTCCTTGTATTTGAAAAAGATGAAAGAGCAAGCAATTACCCTGTAAGAAAGTTGCTATAAATGATCACGTTTAAATGAGATTGCAACTCAGACAAAGAGCAGCAATAGCATAGTATTTAACATTAAGGAGGGAAAAAAAATCAGACCAAGAAACACGGATTTTCAAGATAATAGAATTACCTTTCAGTAGAGTGTACCTTTAATAAGGCAGGTAGCAGCATTTCTAGTACGGGAGCAGATAATTTGAGGAAGCAATGTTTTCTAATGCCATATGCACCAGCATGGAGACTGAAGTTAACTTGTATTAAATTCTATAGCTCTCTTTCTTTGGTGAAATGGCTTTCCAGCCGTGATTGATGTCATCTGAATACAGGAAAAGGAACCATTGAGAAGATTAAATCTCTGTGGCCACAGGTCACAGAACGGGGTGTGGATTCAGTTGGGTCTAGGATTTCAACAAACTGGTCCTGATTGTGTAATTTTGCTTTGTCAACACCCTGAGCACTAACCATACTTGCCCTTTCTGAACGTTCTGCCTTTTCTTGCCGTTTTGAGATTGAAATACGAGCTTAGTCCTTTCACCCCAGGGCTAGTGATGTGGATCAGTGAAAAGGTCTACAACTCACCTAGGAAGTAGATGTGTTGTTAGTTATGTCTGAAGTGCCTCTTCAGTAACCCTCATCAGCTGTCGTACCCTCAGGCTGGGCTCAAATGTCCCTTGGCAACATAGCAGCCCCTGCTTCTCAGTGGATTAAAACAACAAACGTTTAGTTCTTGCTCGTCGGGTAAGTAACAAGAGCCATCAAGAAGGTTTGCAGAGACTTTTCACCGTCACAGCCCAGAAGGGACACAGACATGCCTTCCACTCACGTTAGCCAGGACTAGTCACACTGTACCGCCTGCCTGCAAAGGGGCTGAACGTGTAGTTTTTCACGTACCCACAAAGGAGAAGGAAACACGATAGAGAAGCTTCTGCTACAAATTTTCTTTCTGCTGTGAATATATATAATATCATATACATCTATAATGTACAATGTGTTTAATATTCCTATTTTCTAAATGACTTAGTTCAAAAGTCCCTTGCGCCTAGAATTGCAGGTATACTAGGTTTAAAAACTGTTTGCACTATTAGATGTTATTAAGGGGAAAATTCATCATCATTATTCCTGTTTGAGAATAGGCCTTTTAAAATCGTTTGTTTATAAAATAGTTTCAGCTTCATTTAATTAGCTCACAGATGTTATTACAACCAAGTTTACCAAAAATATGCAATTCCTGGACTACATTTGGCAAATTCCCAAGGGAAGATCGTTACTGCATTTGTCAGCATGAAGAGAAGTAGAGGAGACGGGAGGAAGACAGCGGAGACGTGGGGCGAAAGAGCTGGATCCATGCGAGATAACTGAGCTCTGGAAACATAAATTCCTTCCCTCCTTTCTCTCTTTCTTCTTTCCTTTCTTTCTTCCTTCCTTCAACAAGTATTAGTCAATCTCGGCCACGCACCACAAACCCTGCCAGGCACCCAGGAGCCCACCATAAACATGGTAGTCCTTGTCCTCACGTTTGTTTGGGGCATGCTGAGTGCTGTAACAGTGAACCTCCAAACCTCAGTGCCTCAATACAATGGAAGGCTACTGTTGATTCACGGACAATCCAAAATGTGTGCTTCAGAGCCGTGGGAGGCTGTCTTCAATCAGGGGATTCACACATGGCTCCACAAAGATTACAAAGAGCTTCCGAAGCGCGTGACTGTAACAAGGCAGCACAAGGGGACAGCCCGCGGATGATCCCGGCTTGGGGCTTTTTAGAGGCCTGGCCGAGCAGTACTATACTCCACTCCAGATCCAAAGACAGGGAGGGAGGGTCTGAGCAGAAGAGGCTTAATGGACCAGAGAGCAACAAGCCAAAGGAGTCCGCTTTTGGTTTAGGGAAACAAAAATAAAAATTTTATTCATTCATTTGTTCAACAAATTATAATGAGTGCTTTCTCTTCTAAGGACTGTTCTGAGTACTGGGCATCCTTCAGTGAACACGACAGACAAGATCCTTCTCTCATGAGACTCATGGTGAAGTTTAAAATGTTCCTAACCAAAATTCTCCTTTTAGGTCTATACGCTTAAGAAAATTTTGCACATGTGAACAAGGAACCGTATACAATTTATTACGTTATTGTTTGTAAAAGCAACAAAATGGAAACAAATGTCCATCAATAGGAAAAATGGATTGATTATATTTATTCAATAGAATACTATAAAGCAGATAAACTGAAAAAATTGAGTTACAACTATCAAGATGAATAAATCTCATATACACAATATTTTGCGGAAAAAAGCAAATGGCAGAACGATTACTAATAGACCAGGGTTACATTTAAATAAGTTTAAAACACTGAAAACCAATACTGTACAGTCTTTATGGAAACAAATATATATTAAGAGTTAAAAACATGCATTAGTACGATGAACACGGAATTCAGGACAGTGGTTATTATCTCCAAGGAGGAAGCAGCAGAGGGAATGGACCGGGAAGGGATATGCAGCGGAGCTCAGGTGTATCTATAATGTGTCATTGTCTTAGAAAAATCAGAAGCAAATATGGAATAATGTTTAGATTGGATAAAGCTGGACGTAAGCACATGAGTATTCAACACACCATTCTCTGTTTTTGTTATTATATTTGAGCTGTGTTTGGCACCCTTTTTAACTAGACTTATTTCCTCCTATCTTCTTCCCATACTGCCCCCTCCCCAAACATCCTACATATGCCCTGACTAATGTCTCAGTTACTGGTCCTGAAGAGGGGAGCCGTTATGCGTCTTGCCCTTGGGTGATGCATCTGAGGCCTGCTCCAGGAAGGAGGGAGGAGCAGGCATGGGCATCAGGCGCCCAGGTAGGAGGGAGTGGCAGGGAGGAGCATGGTCATGGCAGCTTGCTTCTTCGATGCATTTGTCACCCAGAATCCAGCAACTCAAATGCTTCTATAGCTCTTCTAATGGGAAGGAACCCATTAATTTTACTGTTTTCAAGAGAATTCAATGAACTCAAACTTTGGTGACTTTAAGAGTAGCAATGCATGTGCTAGGACTTCCTATCTCCACTCCTTCCTTCCTGGAATATCTGCCTTTTCTTTGGGCAGATGCCAGACCATCTGAGGTACCTTGCCTGATCAGGCTAATTCTTGTATGAGCAAAGCCTTTTTAACTGCACGAGTTGAACTCCCTGATGTCTGTCAAGTAACAGTGCTCGCCACTAGAGCTATGAGTCCTCCTTGTGCCTAGGACAGCACAAGCACAGCCAGGTGACCGGAGGTAAATTTGTGGGCAAACACCAGTTTACAAGCTCCACCTCCAGGCGTGTGGACCTAGCCTAGCATAGGCCAAGATGACCTTTGTACCAAGGTGCTTCTTAGTCAGTGGCCTCACCATGAGTTATCTTCTCTCTTGATTGCGCTTTGGGTGTTTTCCACTGTAAATGTCTTTATATCCTTACTTCATCTCCTCATCTTATAAGAAATTTGCCTTTCTCTGAACAACACTGTCCCAGTCTTCTCTCCCTTGAGGACCTCATGTTCTCCTCTTCTCTGTCAAGAGGAAAGGAGTGTGTACATGTGTGTTGAGGCAGGGGTGGGGGTCGGAGTGGGAGTTAGCACTGGTCCTAGAACTGCCATGCATCCTCACTTGTTCTCACTACCTGCCTTCGACATGTTGAAGTTATCCACCATGTTCTCTAGACCCACTTTCACCTTCTTAAGATGATGTTAGCACTTGGCTCATGATTTCTTTCTGCTTGAATTCGAGTAACTAGTCCCCATGTGGACAGCCTGACCAGTAGTCTTGTCACTCCAAGACTGTGACCCTTCTAGCCACTCGCCCTCTTGAGGACTATCCCTAAATTTATCTGTGTGGCTGGAGCCCTGCCAACTCCTGGCTGACCTTCCCACATTTTGATGACTAGAGGTAGTGAATATGTAATTCCCAGGAGGAAATGACATGAGCAGGCCCTCCACGGACCTGCTCAGGCAGCTTGGCTGGACTCCCTCTCCCTACTTACTTTCAGGTCTGTACCCAAGCACCTGCCCTTCCCAGTCCGTCTGATTTCCTAGTCCTGGGATACCAGATGGACCCACTCACCACTTTGTGTCCTCAGGTCCTGACCTTCGGCCATCACCAAGATTTCCAGTGACTGGACTCCTCCCACTTTGCATGGACAATCTCTCCCCTCCTGGTGTTGCTGGACTTCTTCCCCATCTTGGACTCCATGATTGGCTGTGTTAACACTGAGCCTCCACCCCAGTCCTCGAGCTCTGCATTTAGGTACTGAAGCACAGCTGGAGACATCCCAAGAAAGTGAATGTGTGCTTGTAGCAAACCAATCGTCAACTCCTAACACTTTCTTTTATAACTTTCTAAGTTTTCTTATGAACTTTCTGCATTTCTTACCACAGTAGTTTTGCAGGCCATCTCTGCTCTCCTCAAGCCTTCATCTTTTCTTCCATCCACCCTACTTGAGGACCTCACCAGGGAAAGGCTGAAACAAAGCAAATTGTGGACACGTGACACAAAAGCCCCACACCCCCCCATCACCTTTATTGGTTTTTATTTCTATATCTGTTATCTCTTCCTTTGTTGTAGTATCAAAGGAGGAGATTTTCCTATTCCTTCCTGGCATTAATCCATCTACCCATGCTCTAAATTTCTTTACATCTGAGCTAAGCGATCTTATTCCCATATCATGCCACCTCTTTCTAGAATCTTACGTAGCCTATCGTTTTCAGTTAGCTCTTTGTATTCTTCCCCCTTCAGCAAATGTGTGAGTGCCCGCACTGTGCTGGGTGCAGCGGATACAATAAAGAATAAAATATGGCCCCTGCTGTCAGTCGGATAGGGGAAGATGGTAACATGCCATGTACCTGACTGTATTATAAGTCAGCGTGACACAATGACAAAGAGTTCTGCGGGCGTTCACAGCGAGCAGCAATTACTCTCACGGGGGATTTTTATATTCTCAAGCCCTTCTACAGCCCCTAAGACAATTTCCCTGTTCCAGCAGCAAAACAAATAGAAAGGGAGAAAATGCGCGCAAATGCATTCATCCATCCATTCATTCATTCAGAAAATATTTATTAAGGGACTACTATGTGTCAGCGCTGCTGGGGTGCTGGGGATCCCCTAATGAGCAGAAACACAGACAAGGTCTCTGCACTCATGGAGTTTATAGATAATTGAAGACAAGTTTTAATCACACAAATAAGTAGGAGCTGCAGTAAGTGCTAAAAAAGGGACAATGCTGGGTCATATGAGAGTGTATAATAGAGGGTGTGGTCTAATCCCAGAGAGCAGAGAAGTCTTCCCTGGACCTGGAACAATGGAATTACGAACTGAGGGGCCGGCCCCGTGGCCAAGTGGTTAAGTTTGCATGCTCCACTTCTGCGGCCCAGGGTTTTGCTGGTTTGGATCCCGGGCGCGGACGTGGCACCGCTCAACAGGCCACGCTGAGGCGGCGTCCCACATAGCGCAACCAGAGGCACTCACAACTAGAATATACAACTAAGTACTGGGGGGCTTTGGGAAGAAGAAGAAGAAGAAGAAGAAGAAGAAGAAAAGAAGATTGACAACAGATGTTAGCTCAGGGCCAATCTTTAAGAAAAAAAAAGAACTGAAGGATGCGTGCTAGTGATGGAGGCAAAGATGGGGGCAGGAGGAGGGCCAGCTTGCGCAGAACTTTGTTGGGGGAGGGAGCTTGACAAAGACCAGGGCTGGAAGGAGGCCGCTGAGGGGAGGGGAGCCATAGAAGGCTGAGGTGTGTGTATGTAAGATGGAGGGATACCAGCGGAGAGGGTCTCACAGGCCAGCATAAGAAGCTGTCTGTTTATTCTAAGAGCCATGGAGCTGTTGAAGACCTTTGAGCAAAGAGGGGATGTGACCAGATATGTGAATAAATGAACACTCTAGCTGAAGTGTGGGTAGGGGTTTGGGGTCAACTCTGGTGAAATTGAAAGAGCACTGGACTTGGAATTGGAGTCATAGGTTCTCTCTCTAACTCTTATGAGCTCAATGACCTTGGGCTTGATTTCCTTCTCCGGACACTGAGACAGTTGAGAGAGGATATATGTGACTAACTCCTGGCCCATAGGAGGTCTTTGGACCTCCTATGAGATATGAGATTTGTCTAATCTCATATCTTTTTCACTTTTTTCTAGGTCTCATTGCTGTTATTTGTCTGACAAGAGCAGATGTGGGTGATGAATATAAACTGTGGAGCCCACCACATTTTTGTGGCTAGTTCAAAGAGCACATTCAGGCACGTCTCACAGGCTCAGGAGTGGTGGAGTCACTTAAATTAAAACATTTTCTTTTTTCTAATTTGCAAATTGCAGACTTCAAAGACTAACTTAGCAGAGCTGATGTGGCCTCCTTGACCTACATCGTAAGTAATGAGCTCTTGATCCAAGAATTATTGCAATCTCTATCACAAATT